ATTGGAGGTTAGATCCAGCCCAACTTAAAGATGGGAGAGCAGAGAACAGAAGAACTCATCTCTGCTCTCCTCTTAGCCTTGGTTTCTCCATCTTCAGCCTGGCAGTGTGGACCACCAGGTCAGCAACAAGCCACAAGCAGAGGATCCCAGCCTGTGATCCCAGCCATTCAGGCAAGGAAGGTCATGGGTTCAAGGCCAACCTGAGCAACATGTCGAGACCACATTTCAACAACCACAAAAAAGTCACCCACTGATGGCCTACGGTGTTCTTAAAAACTGGGCTGGTCACCCAAATTAAGGTTTCCCTACCCAGATCTAAAACTTCTCTTGGAAGGGAACTGGCACTCCTAGCCCCATTCTTTATGGCCATGATGGGTTGGAGCTGCCCTTTTCAAACCAGGCATCACCCTGTCCTTTCCTCAGCCCCCTTTCACTGCCTAAGTCCCCTGGGCTTGAATGCCAGTTACCATCCATCATTGGATTTGCACCTGATGTCACTTGTACCTGCTTCTCTTCTATGCCTGCCTGGCCCTCTGCTTTTGATGCTGGCTGATGTCAAGTCTGATGGGCCTCCCTGGACAGCTCAACTCAAGACATCATGTTGTCTCAACCCCTGACTGGGGGCTTCCTAAGGATGCCAGACCTGTGTCATGTTACTCAGATGGCAGATCCCAGAGTCAGTCCTAGAAAGGACTCGAGATCTAAGAGACCAGTCTAGGATTTGTGAGGTGGAAGATAAATTTTGGGGTGTGTTTTTCTTTCTGTTGGAGGCATGTTTTCTGCATTCTTTTTTGGGGGGAGGGGCGAGTACCAGGGATTGAACCCAGGGGCACTTGACCACTGAGACACATCTCCAGCCCTATTTTGTATTTTATTTAGAGATAGGGTCTCATTGAGTTGCCTCACTTTTGCTGAGGCTGGCTTTGAACTCGTGATCTTCCTGCCTCAGCCTCCTGAGCCGCTGGGATTACAGGCATGCACCCCATGCCCAGATATGTTTTCTGCATTCTCAGAAGAGTATGTGACCTCTCCAAAATGTTAAGCATTACTGGTCCAATCCATGAGCTCCACTGCCTGGATGAGCATAGGAGACCCTGAAAGTAAACAAGTGACTCCCCCAAGGTCACATACAGAGAGCCTTAGTGGCAAAGCCAAGAATAAGAGCCATGTTTTCTGGTTCTTTAGAAAAGAGACAATTTTTTTTTTCTTTAGGAAACTGGTTTTCAGGCATTTATGAACCAATTTATAGTGTCTCCTACAAAAAAAAATTATCCAAAACTTATCAACCTTAATGATTATTATGATTGGTATATAGTTTATTCCCTCAAACTGAGATTGAAATTTGATTGCCCTTGTGGTGGTGTTGGGAGGTCATCTTTAAAAGGAGATTGGGCTGAGTGTGGTGGTATGTGCCTGTTATTCCAGTGCCCCGGGAGGCTGAGACGGGAGGATCACAAGTTGAAAGCCAGCCTCAGCAACTTAGTGAGGCCCTTAGCAATTTAGTGAAACCCTGTTCAAAATATGATATGGAAAAGGCTAGGGATGTGGCTCAGTAGTTAAATGCCCCTGGGTTCAATCCATGAAGTGATTGGGTGATTAGGTCATGAGGGCTCTGCCCTCAAGAATGGATTAACCCATTCATGGATTAGAACTGGGTGTTCTATTAGCCTGTGGTCCAGATACTTGAGAGCTCAGGAGACTGAGGTAGAAGGATCACAAGTTTGAGGTCAGCCTGGATAACTTAGCAAGGCCCTATTATAAAATTTTTAAAAATTTTTGTTTAAATAGTTAGGGATGGAGTTCAGTGACAGAACACTTGCCTAGCATGCACAAGACCCTGGGCTTGATCCCCAGTACTGTTTGTTTGTTTGTTTGTTACTAGGGATTAACCCAGAGGCACTTTACCACTAAGCTACCTCCCCAGATCTTTTAATTTTTCATTTGAGACAGGATCTCACTAAGTTGCTTAGGGCCTTGCTAAATTGCTGAGGCTAGCCTCAAACTTGTGATCCTCCTTGTCTCAGCCTCCCGAGCCGCTAGTATTACAGGCATGTGCTATCGTGCCTGGCTGATCTTCAGTACTGAAAAAAAGAAAGAAAGAAAGAAAGAAAGATAATGGATTAATGGGCTCTTAAGAAGTGGCTTTGTTGCAGAAGCAAGCTCTCTCTGGCTTGCTTACTGTCTCACCACGTGACATCCTCCTCCATGTTATGATGCAGCAAGAAGGCCGGTGTCTGCTCTTGGACTGCATAGCCTCTAGAAACGGGAGCTGAATGAACTCATGCTTTTGGATTTACCTGCTCACAGGTGTTTTGTTATAGTAACAAAGTGGAACTAGAGCAATGATGTGTCTCTTGTCACCCCCGCTGCCACCCCCTCTCACACTCTTTCTTCTTCCTCTGGTTCCTTCCTGCTTTTCCTACCATATGCAGTGGTTTGATACTTTGTTGGCTTGTTCACAGCCTTCTGTTTCTACATGCTGGGTTCCATCAGGGCTGGAAACTTGGCCCCTTTGATCGTGACTGCAGCACTTTCTGGCTTTCATATATACATGATATTTGACTTGTCCACCCACTGAGGTCCAGGGATCACTCTCCCCAAGTCACCCACTGCCTGTTTCTTTAGAAAAGAGATAAATCTGAGGGATCAGTATTTCAATATACCTCCTACCTTTTACCTGTTGGTAAGCTTCCAGAATAGCATCTGGCATAGGACTGGCATTCAAGAAATATTTGCTAAATGTATTAATTTGTAAAGATAGAGATTCAGAGAGAGTCAAATAGCCTTAGACTTTTTCTGTCCTGAAACTAGCCAAGTAATATAGCCTTTCCATTACATAATCATAATGATGTGAAGAGTAGTGCTAGCTCTCATCTCTGATGACTGACATTTGAGTATTTACCATGTGCTAGGGCACAATATTTTTAAAAGTTTCCTTTGGAGGGAGGAGGGACACTAGGAATTGAACTCAGGGCTTCGCACATGCCCAGTACGTACTTTTCTGCTGAGTCACAACCCCAGGACCCCCAAATAAGTTGTTTTTTTTTTTAATCCATTATTTCCCCTGCCCAGCAGAAGAGGCTTTAGCAGGGTGTTTTCTGGCCAGCTGTGGGGGGTGGGTGGTGTGTGGGAGGAGAGGGTGGGGCTGGAAGTCCTGACCACCTTCTCTCTAGAATCACTCCCCATGGGCTGTATTTTGCAAACTGAATCTGGCAAATTCCTATCCCTCTACTTGCCTGTGACAGAATATTCTCAAGGAGGATAAAAAGAAGGCCTTACGGATTTATGCTATTTGGTTCTTCTGGCCCTTCTAGAATGTGTACGGCCACAAGTATTTATTAAGGGTCAGTACTGAACACTTACCACCTCCACCAGACCAGTATAAGCATCATTATTGGGGCTAGGGATATAGCTCGGTTGATATAGTGCTGGCCTCCATGCCCTGGGTTCAGTCCCTGGCAACACACACACACACACACACACACACAAAAGAATTACTATTGATCAATTTGCAGAAAAAGAATCAAGGTGGTATGTGGGTGGTTTTTTTTTTATTTTATAAATCAAATTATATTTTTAAAAAATAACTATTGTAAAAGAAAAATGGGAAAAATAAAACTCCATCATATTCCCACTTATTCTTTTAAGAAATAATATTGATTACATGCTAGGCATCATCCTTTCATCTTTCAAACCACATGTGGGTTGGGTGAAGTGACACATGCCTGTAATCCCAGCAACTCAGGAGGCTGAATGCAGAAGGAACACAAGTTCAAGGCCAGCCTCAGCAATTAAGGAAGGAAAGAAGGCCAGTTATGGATGTAGCTCAAAAGTAAAGCACCCCTGGGTTCAATCCCCACTACCAAGAAACAACAACTATGTATACATGGGATCACAGTGTGCCCAACAGACATTCTAACTGCTATTGCATTTTATTGCATTGTGTCTTTGCCACCTCTTCTTCCCACTTGGCTTGTGATGTGCTCTGCTCTTTCCTCTTACCCTTACTACAGCTTCACCTGAACCATACTAGCCAGCCCTCTGCTTGCCCAAGGAGACCACTGGTCAAAAGAAGGACCTCCTGGGCCCCTGAGTGTGTGGGGAGGTGTGTGGGGGGGACACACAGGGAAGGCTGTCACTTAGGGGTGAAGGAAATTCCTTTTTCGCTGGAAGATCTGCCAGTGGTATATCCGAGTTAGGTCAAGATCCTAGATGGAATGGGATTCACCTTAAAGAAAATCAAGTGGAGGAAACAGAAAAGGCTATTGGTTTTCAAATGCACAGGTGGTTGGGCACACCTTGGGGCATTCCACAGTGACTGTAGTTTAGGCATCCAGTCCTTTGTTGTCCTGCCCTTCTTAAAGCCCTACAGTTTCTCCCACCCCACCTTAAGTGTGGGCTGGACTTAGTGACTTCCTTCTAAAGAACAAAATATGGAAAGGGAAAAATAGTCACTTGACCGTGGAGGAGCCTGGCAGACCAAGTGATTGGGG